CGCCACCCGGCCAGGAAGGACGAGAGTACTGGCGCGGTCGCGACGGGAAGGGTGGGTACAGGATGGACGCAGTCATGAGACGGTACATGGACATCATCCACAAATACGCGCTCGGTCAGGACCCACCACAACGGAAACCGCTCTGGATGCCCGGCGACCCCGACGTCGACGTCGAAGCCTCATCAAAACAACCGCAAGAAACAGCCGATTTCAACACCAACACCAACACGGATGCCGCCGAAAACGGCAAACGTCCCGCCGACCAAGGCGAAAGTCCGCCAAAGAAGAAACAAAAACCGTTGTCTAAAGCTGCGAAGAAGAAGGAAGCTAGTAACCCCAATCTCACGGCTATGCAAGCCCATCTCTTTCATCTATTGCGTCCACTGGTTTCTCAACACCACAACGTACGAGATGCGCTTGCACGGTCACGGACGGGCGATATTGAGGCGTTTGAGAATGTGCTGAGGCTTGTTGAAGAGGCGGTTAAGGAGGGGATTATGAAGTACGAAGAAGAGCATGCTAACGACGCTGTGACTGAAGCCCAAGATGTGAAGGAAGAGGGGAAAGTAGAGGGGAATGGGGAGGAACTAGACCCCTACGAATCCTCCCTCGCAACCGTCGCACGTGTCAAGAGGCCGTATTGGGTGTGTCAACCGTATGTTAGGCCGTTGCCGAAGGAGGCGTTGGAGAAGGGGAGTATGACTGTTAGTAAGAAGGAGAGGAAGAGGTTGGAGGAGGAGAAGGAGAGGGCGGAGAAGGCGGAGAAGAAGGGGGATGAGGAGGTCAAGAGTGTGGGGTTGGTGCCTGGGGGGAGGGTTGAGGAGAAGGTAGTCAGTGAGGAGGGTGGAGATAAGAAGGCGGATGGGGAGAAGGAGGAGGTTGTTGAGGAGCCGAGGGATGGTATGGTCTGTGGTTGAGAGAACGAGGAAACTTCCAGTTTGGACGCCGGTGATCATCCTGGGTGGGTGGGGGAGGCGGAGGGGAGGAGGAGGGGACGTGGTGCAAGTCATACTATCCGCCTCTTGACAACATTGCGCTCTCACGATGGAGATGCTCGAGTCGAATGCAAGTTCACGGCGCACGAGAGTTTTCCAACGCAAAGAGATTGATCATGGATGGTGCATGCCATGCAAAGCACCCACAGACTGTACATGAAGACCAGAGAAGGCCTCTCTAGGACTTCGCCCTAGAGGCAAAAGCGTGCGGACTATAATGCAGAGTCTAAGATCACACACCAGCAAGAATCTAAAATGTGTGGAGGCAGAATGCCTTCTCTCCAATTCCTTGCGTTCCTCTGGTTCTTTGTACCGGGACGGGAGCTTGCATATACAAAGTCAGGACGTGTAGCTTTGGTGCCATTCGATGCAAGAGGGCGACATCCCCGCTGTGCTAGGAAGATTCGACGTGCCTGTCGTGCTACGTAACTACACTAATCCTGCCGGCGGGCCTATGGGAGCGGAGCGGAAGAAGAAGAAGAAGAAGAAGAAGAAGAAGAAGAAGAAGAAGAAGAAGAAGAAGTCCGTGGGAAAGGCTGACGTACACGGGGTTATGGGCAGAGATAAGTTGATTCTTGCGCTATTGGAGTCGTTGGCTGAGTGGTTCACATTGGTTCAGTCACGTATTCGAGAATGAACAAGGCTGTTGCGATAGACCCACTGTATTCTCTGCAAGGTAGCAGCCCAGCGCCAACGCCCGATATCTTCGTCCACTACAACACCTCACCGACTCCTTGTCTCTTCCGTAGTATCCAGCGTAAACTCCGCCTTTGCGAATGCCGCTCTACTCGACGCTCCCACCAAAACATCGTACCTCCCCTTCTCCCTCACCCACTTCCCCCTATCCTCACTCCACCACGCCGTCGCACCCCAAAGCCCCATCCTGACCTCCACCTTCTTTTTCTCCCCCCTCCCTACACTCACCTTACTAAACCCCCTCAACTGTTTCTCGGGTCCCCTCACACTAGCCTCCCGATTCTTCACATAAACCTGCACCGTCTCCTTGCCCTCCCTCTCCCCCGTATTCTCAACTTGACATTCAACCACCAGTTCCTGCCCGTCCACCGCGACACCAACCCCGCTGATCTCGAAACTAGTATAGGACAGCCCGTGCCCAAACGGAAACAGCACATCTCGGTCAACAGCATCATAATACCTATAGCCCACATAAACATCATCCGCATAAAGCACCCTCTCCTGATCCGCATGCCCACAAAGAAACGCAGGATTATCCTGCACCCTCACCGGGAAACTCAACGGCAACTTGCCACTCGGATTCGTAATTCCGTACACCACGTCCGCGATTGCATTCCCCGTTTCATTGCCGCCGTACCAGACCTGCAGGAGCGCTTTTGTGTCAGACAGCCAGGGCATGGAGTATGGCCCGCCGGAACTGATGGCTACAACGGCCTTACTGTTTGCGGCAAGCACGGCGGTGATGAGAGAGTCGGTGTGAGGGGGAAGCGACATGTCTTTGCGGTCGTTGCCCTCGGATTCCCATTCGCCAACGAAGCCGGCGAGGATGATGGTTTGGGGGGTTTGGGAGGCGAGGTGGGCGGCGGATGCGATGGCGGTGGAAGTGTCGAGGCGGTGGCACCCGCCTAGACGGATGTTACCTGGTTTAAATGCTGTGTCGTCGCTGCCGCTGCTGGAGGCGCCGGATATGGAAGGTGAATTCCAGCGACACAGTATTTGGTACGTTTGCCCTGCGACAACATCCATGCTTCCGTGTTCTTCGACTGTGCCGTTGCGGAAGAAACCATCTGCTTTCTTTTGGTGCGATGTATTGTCGATGATGAGCTCGTTGTCAATGTATAAATTCGCGGTTCCCTGGACGCTGAGGCCGAAATCGAAAAGTCCGGATGAGGAGGGTGTGAAGGTGCCGGTGATGTCGATGGAGTACTCGCGTAGGTTCTTGTCGTGGTAGTTGAAGAAGAAACCGCACGAGTTGAGGAGCTCGTAGTGGTCGAGGAGGAGGCGCGGGGGTGTTGTTGCGTCTGGTGGGGCGGAGTAGATGGTCATGTCGTAGCCCACTTTCCCGCTCTTTGTTCGCATTTGTGCACCGAGGAGGGGTAGTTCGTAGTGGTTGTAGATGCCTTGCGAGAAGTGGACGGCGGCTTGGGAGCGTTCTGTAATTGCGTCAAAGGGCGTGACGGTGTTGTAGGGACGTAGATGGGCTACTCGGCCTCCTCGGTAGGCGGCTACCTTTCCGTTGGGCCCGATGATGGCGATTGGCTTGTTGATGTCGAAGGGTAAGATGTTCTCGTCGTTCTTCATGAGGACGATGGACTCGGCTGCTGCCTCGCGTAAGAGGGCTCTATCTTCGGACCTGTCCAGTGTTTCTTCTTCGGTGCCCTCGATCTTCGACGCTGACGCTTTCTTGACCAGATTTAGTACCGCTCTTGCTCGGTCGTCTACGCATTCTTTGTCGACTCTTTTCGCTGCGACGGCATGGGCAAGCCGCTTGCCTCTCCATTCACCTGGGCCGGGCATCTCTAGGTCAACGCCTGCTTCGACTGCTCCTTGTACGCCGTACATGCCAAACCTAAGACGGCAGGGTTAGCACGGCATCTTCGACGCGACTGTCTACTATGTCTTACCAATCACTCATAACAAGCCCCTGGTACCCCCACTCCCCTCTCAACACCCCCTTTAATAACTCCACACTGTCCGTAACATGCAGCCCATTGACCTTGTTATACGCCGTCATCAGCGCCCCCGGCCTCCCCACCTTCACCGCCAACTCAAACGGCCTCAAATAAATCTCCCTCAACGCCCTCTGACTAACCACGCAATCCATGGCAAAAATCCCCTGCTCCTGATCATTACACACAAAATGCTTCACCGTCGCCGTTATGCCCGTCCCCTCAATCCCGCGGATAAACATGCCCGCCAACATACCAGCAAGATATGGATCTTCGCCGTAGCACTCGTGGATACGGCCAGCGAGGGGGCTGCGCGGGATGTTGATCGTCGGAGCGAGTAGGACGTGGGCTTTCTTTGCGCGGCACTCTTCGCCCATTAGTGTGCCGAGGCGTTGGAGCAGCTCTGGGTCCCAGGTTGAGGCGAGGGCGGAGCCGCAGGGAAGACACACACTCGGTGTTGAGTTGAAGAAGCGGCTGCCGCGGACGGCGTCAGCGCCGTCGGTGATGCAGAGGGAGGGGATCGATAGGCGGGGGATGGCGAGGGTGCGCCAGAATGAGCCGCCTGGGTGGTGGTTAGTACTTGGCCAGTGAGGAGATTCTTCTTGTGGTTATAGTGGAGAGAGTGAGAGCGAGATGTGGAGGATACGACGAACCTGAAAGGAGACTGCATTTCTCTGCGAGCGTCAGTTGAGATAGGACGTCTTCTACGTCCATGTTTGCCATGGTGCGACAAGCGTGGCGGGGAGTTGTGGAATGTCCGGATTTTGCATCAAGAGATTGCTTGTCCTTTCAAGCGCGTATACGGGAGTGCGAGCATGTAAAGTGAGATGGTGATGTCACGTGGGCACGCGCATAGCCGCCTGTACAGCGCTGGCCTTACGCAATACAGTCGTTTGCATGCCGGAGCAATTTGAGCACTCTAATGTTGGAAGGCGCTCATGACGCAGTGGTAAGACATGCTGATCAATGAATGAATCGAGGTTAGCATGCGGGCGACGGTGTCTCGTGGAGCTAAGTCGATATGCACATGAAGTACATCTTGGCTTGCAGCACATGTACCCAACGTCAGGGTGCGGCCGCTCCGTTCTTGTATCCTTGCAATCACTTGCAGGAGGTGTATGCGCGAGCGTGCGTGCTAGTCGGTTTTGTCGGCTAGTGGCGGAGCGTGTCGCAGATGCTGTCCGCGTGCGACAACGGGATGTTGCCGCTGTCATCGTTCATGTTACTCAATGCGACAGAGATAATGAGATGCGCAATGAGTAACCATGGGTACAAAGGTGAAATAGAAAGTAGACATCTTTTGATGTTTTGAGATATCAACCTTTACATAGACATTAACCTCCGTTTTGCTCCTTGCGGTTTACAAGACGGAATTCTGTATAGACTCTTGTATGAAAACGCTTTCGCTCGTGTGTACAGTCTCAGTAATCATCTCTTGCACCTCGGCTTCCTTGACCGTTTCTCTAGCGTCTTCGGCGAGGCCTCTAAAGTGTCCCCCTGGCAGCTTCAGCAGTTCGCTAGGGCTACCAGCTTCCACAACAACTCCCTTGTCCAACACGATGATCTTGTCAAAGTCCATGACTGTTCCGATCCGATGCGCAATAACAAGCATAGAAGCAAGCCCGCATGCGGACAGCTCCCGTATCGACGTTTGGATTGCTGCATCAACGACTGGATCCATGGAGGATGTCGCTTCGTCTAGGATGAGAAGCCTTGAGCGATCAACGATAGCGCGTGCGAGGCTGAGCTGTTGGCGCTGACCTTGGGAGAGATTGCTTCCGCCATCCATGATTGGTTGCTCGAGCAACGATAGAACACGCATGCGTCTTCTAGAAACCGCCTCGTCGGGATCTGAGAACAGACCAGGACCAGATAGTCGATTCGTTTGTTTGCGATGTGCATCACTGCAGCCGGGCCAATGAACTTGTTCCAATGCGTGGACGAGATCTGTGTCGTCATGCTTGTCAAAAGGATCGAGGTTTGTGCGGACAGTACCGAAGAAGAGATGCGGGTCCTGCGTTATGATGGAGAGACGCTGGCGCAGCTGTTGTAGAGCCACTTCCGCAATGTTGATGCCATCAAGCGTGATGCTGCCCTGTTCCGCTTCGAGAATGCGAAAGAAGGCCATTGCAAGAGTCGATTTTCCTGCTCCTGTGCGCCCAACAACCCCAACCCGCTCATTTGGTCCAATCTCAAAGCTGACGTGATTGAGAGCAGGAGGGAGATGGGGCGCGTGTCTGATGACTAGATCAGAAATCTTCACACGGCCCGACTCTGGCCAGGCTGCGGGTGGCAACATTCCGCAGCTGTAATGCTCGCTTGGTATGTTGGTATACTCGAGAATGCGGCTTGTGCTGGTGAGGGCAAGGTCGAGATTGATGAAGTTGCGAACAAACGCCGAAACAGTCTCCGTGTAGCGGATCAGAAAGCCCAGAGCGAAACCTGTCATTGCGACTGTGATGCCAGGCATCGCGACGATGATCAATGTGGCTGCGGTCACAAAGGCGGACCCAATTACTGCCATGCGACAACCAAACCAGGCGTTCACAAGCCAAAGATTCCAAAGTGCCCGTGTGTTGTCGTCGACCAAAGCTCCGAACTTGATGGTGTATCTTTCCTGCAGGAGCATCGACCGGATAGTAGGCAGGCCATCCATGGTTGAACACAAGCTTTCAAGTACCGGACTGCGGCTGATGTTGTCGAGATGCTTTAGTTTGCGTGCCACTTGAAAGAACTGAAGTGCGCTGTAAGTGCACATGAGAAGCATCGGCAAGGACATGGGCAGCGTCCACCAACTAACGCTACTGCCGACTCCAAAGATCGAGATGAGCATCAGGGCACTTGTCAAAGCGCTGCCGAGGATTTGCCCCACTTGCTCATCAAGAATCGCCGTGTCGCTTGTAAAACGATTCATGATCCGGCCTAGAGGGTTGCGGTCGGTGAAGTCCATGGGTGCACGTAAGACAGCGTGTAGGAGCATGTCGAACAACCGTCTCGAAGCATTGAACATGGATGCGTACGTCAAGTATTCTTGCGTAATGCCGATAAGACAAGTCGCCATTGCAAATGCCGCGTAAATACCCAAGTACCAAAAGAGGCCGGCATCGTTGTCGCTTGCGGGACTACGCATGGCTTGAGTACTTCGTTCATCTTGCTGTACCCAATGGGCGATCCACCATGACTGTTAGTTGTTAGCATCACAACATCGCTCGTGTACACGATGTGAAACATACCTGTCCGACGACAATGCCAACATAGCCCGCGTATATTAGGACAATCAGTAGTGTGTACCAGAGGCCCCCAATATACCGCAGATATAGCATCAAAGTACTGTGTTGTGATCCCGAGTTACGTTCCTGCTCGTCCACAACATATTGGTGGGTGGTCATGACACCCGTGGAATCTGGAATCACGAACAGCTCCCCAGATGTGACAGATAACGTCGAGAGATTGCGAGAATGTCTCGACCTGGCCTTGGCAATTGATCCAGAACGAATCCTTGGGGTCATCTTTGTCATGGCGTTGGGTATATCATGTGATTCTTCATCAATGCGGTCGTCCGCATATCTGGACTGGTACTGGCCATCACCCGATAGTGAAACGATGTAGTTCGCGCTAGGCATGTAGAGCGAGGGATGGTGCGAAGCCAAGATGACGGTACGCCCTTGGACGAGTGAGCCACTTAAGACGTGCTCTGCGATATGAAGCGCAGTGTGAGCGTCGACAGCGCTGAAGATGTCGTCCAGTACTAGTGTAGCCGCGGAGGAGTAGAGGGCACGCGCAAGCGCGATACGTGAGCGCTGGCCACCACTGAGATTGACACCATGCGGTCCGATTTCGGTCCAGTCGCCATCCTTGAAAGTTGCAAGATCCGTTTCCAGGGCACAGGCAAAAAGCACCTTCTTGTATCGTCTTGCTTGCATCGGAAGCCCGAATGTGATGTTTTGCATGATCGTGCCAGCTTCAATCCACGGCGTCTGTCCGACATACGCGATTGCTACATTCAAGGGCCAAGAGCGGCCGCCTGTCACACCTCGTGTCTGAGCGACAAGGCTGGGCTTGGTGACATTTCCCGAGACGAGCTCGCACTCCCCAAGAACAGCGGCCAGTAGTAGACTCTTTCCAGAGCGATTGGGCCCTTCGATGACGCTCACAGCACCTTGAGGAAAGGACAATGTCAGGTCTTTGAGAGCGAAGTCGTTCGGCCCTGTGCCATTCCACCGAATCGTCGCGTTGCTAAAGCTGATCTCATCATGGTTGGTCGAGGGAAAGCACTGATCGGCCGCATAGAGGTATTCCTGGAGGCGTCGCAAGCTGTTCGAGGCGCGCACCCAACTTGATTGTAGGGGAGGAATAGCCGCCAGTGTACCGTTTATAGATCCGAGAATTGATAGCGCTGTAAAAGCAGTAGATGCTTTCAGACTTCCAGTAGCGTGTACGTGTATCGAGATGACGAGTACGGAAAGTACAATCGGGGTTAGCGTACATATCGCCCTCGAGGCCATGCTCCATCGATTGACCGCCCAAAGACTATTCAGCTCTTTGTTGCGTTGGTCTGAAACATACGTGGCCCAGTTATCCTCCGCTCCAGAAAGCTTGATCTGACGGACTCCTAGCAAAGCTTCCGTGACGGCTGAGACGCGTAGGTCCTTGTCAGCCATGAGCTTGCTCTGCCCTTGCGCGAGTCGCCGTGCAACGAGCGCGTTGGCACCGAAAAGCAGGGCTATCATGATGATGCTGGCGACCAGACTTCTCCATCCCATGAGCTGCTGAATGAGGAACCCGGAGATCGCCAGCTTGATGAGCGACTCGTAACCCCTGTAGACCTCTCGAATGCAGTTGCCGATTTGTTGCGTATCGGCCGCGACCAGGTTGATGAGATTGAGACTTGCTGGGTCCGTTGGTTTCGTTTCATTCTCGTCGTCTTCTTCTTCCGGTTCCGTAGACATGCCTCGAAGCATCTTGTCAAAGAGAAGCATGGTAAGCTGCTTCTGCATTTTCAGACCCAAGTCTATGCTCGACACCCAAACAGTCCACTTCTCCACTAGAGCAGAGATAATGACGCTCGCTCCAAGACCAAGTATCCATGGAGTAGTCGTAGTCAGTCTATTTTCGCTATCGGTATCTCGCTCCATGGCTCTGAGGATACCGAGAAGCATCATCTGCGGCGCGAAGCTGATGATGGATCCAAGAATAGTCAGACTCAGCTGCACAATCAACTTCCGTGAGTAAACGACCGACAACATCCTCCAGAGAGGGTATGGATTGTTTTGAAAAGTGTCATGTTGCCGAAACTGCTGCAGGAGGTGAAGCGCGCGCGTTCTGGAGTTGAGCTCCGGAAGGCAGCATATCATCGGCGCGGTTGCTTTCGATAGAACATGAAGCGACGATTGGGACCAGGAGAAGAACAGTAGGCCAAATACCGAGCTTGTGGCTTGTCTGTCCACAACAACTCCGTTCCAGAAGACCTCCGGGCGGCGTGGCAGCAGTAAGCCATGCGCACCGGCCAGCGCGGCTGACACAAGCTCGATGATGATTAGAATGCGCTCTTCTTGTAATAACTGGCTCCATTGCGAAAGATCGTTGTATCTGGCGAAGAGGACCGCGCATGCTACGTTGACGGAGTTCAGGCTGCCCCGCAGCGCTAATCCGAATCGGCGCGGAGCCGATGGCTCGGTGAACAACGTCATGGACTGTAGCATCAACGTGATCTAGGCATCCCTCGTTAGTCGGATCAAAACGATGAGAGAAGAATTCCAACTTACCCATATTCCAAATTGAACGACCCGGTCAATGGAGAGCCTATTGCGCGACCCAAGCACGACGAGCCCAAAGCCGGCCAAGCTACCAAGAAAAGTATTGGTGGCAAACAGGGCTCGTGGCCAGCGATCAGAAAACTTGGTGAGTGACTCTTCCGACGCACACCCATCTTCATCTTGATATCGCTGGTCGTTTTCGAATAATGCCTCCCGCAAGTCTGAGCGCCGCAGCCAGAGAAACAGACGTGTTGAAGCAGAGCTACTCAAGCCAATCGCCAGGATGAGCTGAGCCACATGTATTAGGTTGACCATGCTCCAGGCGATGGTCATGGTGAAGAACATTTTGGAGCGAGACAGTCACTCGCGCGCGTACTGCAATGATCACATGCGAGAATCAGGAAAGGAATGAATTCGCATCGGCCTTTTGGAGGATGTGAAGGGTGTGTGCGAGCGACCCTTTGATATATACACAGCCATGGGCCATGGGAGAAGCATGTCTGAGCACGTCGCCGTCGTAGCAGTTCCGGAGATGAACTGAATTTGTTCTGCTTCTATTTTCATGGTCGCACGTCCTAAATGGGAAGCATGCGACACTTGTAGTCGGGTTCAGGCTCGCCAATCAGGCTTGGGCGTCGCCATTTTGTCTTATTGCGACGTGGTAGGAAGATTCGGGAAGCGGGTGATCGACAGTTTGCCAATGATGTGCGGGTAGTGCACTATCATGCTTTTCCAACTCGATTCAAGAACCAACGCTACACGTAAAGCAAAGATACGAGACAAGCACCAAAGAGCTGACGTTTGAGATGCGACGGCGGTGTAGCACTGCTGTGTTGAAAATGAGTGGTCTGGTCAAGCACCACCAATTTGGGACATGTCCTTCGGACCATCAAATATCTCGATGATCATAACTTGCGGACCCATGAAGGTTCGGGATACACGTGGCTAGCGAGTACGATCCTAATTCCTTCTTCGCGCACGGATAGTCTGACGACCAGTCATGATATAGTCTCGACATTGAGAAGCAATCAGAATGACGGGAGTAGATGCGAAAGAAAGGGAGACCGGCGAAACAATTAGCCCGTGCCAACAGCTTTGGTACTATTCAAAAGTCTTTTGGCGTACAACGGAATGATCGCCAAGTTCGTCGAACTGATGTACCTCAAGACAAGCATCCCGACACATCAACGCAGACCGGCGACCGCGCGCGCGTACTTCAATCTCATAGTCGCGAATGATACGCTCGTTATCTGCGTCATTGGCGCGCATGGCATCGATAGCTTCAAGCAGCTTGTGTACGTCCATGAGAGCGTGATTGAAGCCTTCTCCGCGATCTAGTCAGGTTAACGAACAGCTCGTTCAAGGAGGTAGGGAGCACGAACATAAAGGCATAGTATGCGCTGCATCGCCCGCAAGCGTGACACGGCCCTTTGCATCGCCGGGCAAGTCATCACAAGGTAACCACCAGAATTCCAAAGGCACGTTAACAACGGGTCCGTGGCTATCAGACAGGATATCATGGAAGATAGTTTTGAACGTCGGGTGGAAGTCTGCCGATTTCTGCCTCATCAAGGCAATGCGCCCACTGTCTGTGCTGGGTATGTCTGCGTGCCCGTTGGAGGAAAGCCAGGAGAGACAGATTTGCACGCGCCACACGGGGTCCGCTCCGCCCGGCTTCGGGCGTTCCATGACGGAAAACCACATCCAGGCAGGGTGCGTTGGATGCGAGCCTTGGAAAAGCGTCTGGTCCAGTGCAAGCAGTGGTTTCATCTGGGATTCCGTGGCCAGTGCTTGGGTGCCTAGAAAGCAGGCTGGGATGGGCGTGGGTTGCGAGAGCTTCGCTCCGTAGCGCAAGGACCGGACCGTCGAGTGACAACCGTCCACTCCAGCTAGAAGCTGTCCGCTGTAACAACTTCCGTCGCTGAAGACCGTCCTGACGCCTTCTGCCCCGTCCTCAAATGACGCCAGTTTCTTTCCCCATAGAATTCTTTCTTCAATCCCTTCCATGAGCATGTTGCGAAGTCGACCTCGCACGACTCGCATGCGGTTACCGTATGTGGGCGGCAAAGACCATTTAGACGTGCAAGTCTCCAGGTTGAGAAATATCGAGTGACTCTGATCTTGTCCTGGAGCCTGATCTATTTTCGTGGTATGTAATCGGCTTGCAATGTCTTCGGGAAGAAAGTCTAGCAATAGTGGTAGGCTGAAGTGGATGGTGAGAGCCCATCCCTGGGGCCGGCTCACGGCTGATGCATCTCTTTCAAAAACCAGAAATGGAATCCCTTTCTATTTGCTTTGTCAATAAGTGGAATTAGCAAGCGGGCGACTGTGGTGTTACATACCTTCTTAAGACCCTGTGCGAGAGCAAGCCCAGCTATGCCTGCGCCAATGATAAGTACAGTCTGGTGCTTGTCCTCCATGATTGCCATCTTTTAGAACGATGAGGAAGAAAAGCAATTGAAAGGAACTTTCGGTGATTGAAGAACGGGTTTCTGCGTAATAGATATCCGCACACAACGTTTTGCAATCTTGAGCGATCAAGGTTGAAGATGAATGATGCGCAGGCTGCAGCACCAGCTCGGCACGTGAGTTGAACAGGGTACGGAATATCTTCACATCGGCAGCGCCATTCCACTTGCACCAAAATCTCGAAATCTTCCCACGCCATGCTTGCCTCGAAATATCACACTGCTCTAGGATGTGGTCTCCTTTTGGTGGTCATGTCATTGGGACAGGCATTGTGCAAAGCGCCGTTCTTACGCATCGTCGAATTGGACTTGTGTCGTTCCTATCACGCCAAACGTTCTCCTGGAGCTGTGCCCTCGGATACAGACTTGACCGAAGACAAGTGCAAAGCAATATCCGTACAGAAAGACTTGGCCATGATCAATGCATACAACATGGCGGTATCATCCATCATTGGTAAGAGCGCATTACGAGGCTCTTGTCCCGCTGGCTCTCATGAAAGCGATTAACAAATACCAGAGATCATGACAGCATTTCCATATGCGGCCCTTTGCGCACGATTCAGTCGACGTACGATCCTAGCTGCCAATGTCGCTGGCGCCGTCAGCACTTTCACATACTACATATGCATCTGTAAGTCATGAGGGCTCCTTCGCCGTGACTGATAGTAGACCGGCGAGCTGACGCAACCTTGATGCAGGCTACTATCACCAGACATTCGATGTCAGGCTCGTTTTGGGCCAGTCTCTCTGGCGAATCTTCGGTGGTGGCGATGGCGTTCTGTTGAGCGTCGCCAACGCCTTGATCGCCGAGAGCCTGCCTGCGGCACATTTGTACCGTATCCGTTCCACCATGGCGTAGTCCAAATTTGGCTAACCGAGACATGCAGGAGCAAAGTTCTTTTTCTCCTCAACGCCGTGCGCCTTATCGTCAATGCCGTCGGCCAGATGGTGGGGGCGCGCCTCATGCAAGACAATTTGTGGGCACCAGCACTACTAGGTCTGGCGATGCACTGCTTGGCTGTTCCCGCTCTCTGCTTGATTGCGGACCCACCCGACCTAAGGCAGGGGTCCATGACGAGAGAAGGGGAGGCCGAGGATATCACGAATCCTCTACTCGCGCATGCAAGAGACGGAACGAAAGAGAACCTGGAGCGATACGTCAGAGAACAGATATGGACTTCGATAACGACAGCAGGCCGGCGAGTTTCGGTGCTATTCCTCGAGCCCACGACGGCCATGGCACTGGCCATTGTCTTCCTAAACGAGCTAGGACACGGGGTGAACAACATCGTGCAGCAGTGGAGCAGTCGTAGCTTTGACTGGACATTCGCTCACACCAACTACCTGATGGCGGGTCAACGTCTGGTAGCAGCCATGACGCTGATAGGATTCTCATGGTCATTCCACAAGCTGCAAAGGGCAGGCTTCCCAAGCGCACAGCTCGACATCGGTCTGGTTACTGTCTGTCAATGGCTAACGTTGTTGGGCATGTTGGGAGCGGCGATGTCATCTCTCAGCACACTAGAGGGAGTTAGGGTGGTGGTGTTCATATGCTCCATACTCGTCTATATGATGGGGTGGGGTATGGCCGGCGCATTGCAGTCGAGCGTAACCCGATCGATCCCAAAAGATCGGATTACGATGCTCTATACGGGTCTGAATGTGGCAGATCGGATGGCCGGCATTGTGAGTGGCCCCATGTTCGCAGGCCTACTGATGAGTGGCATGCAAAAGGGGGATCAGTGGACGTATCTCCCGTTTTGGGTGTCGGCGGGTCTGTTCGTCGTGGTGTCAGTGTTGACGAGGCAAATAACCCGTTGGTTGGGCGCTGGGATGGAGGACGAAGACGATGAAACGAGGCTAGCTCCCTAAATCTGGCAAGATGGGAGAAATTCGGGAGCAGGTATGACGGAGTAAGTGGAGTTAGGTGGGCTAGCTACGAGGAAAACAAAGCAGGGCTGATGTAAGTGGCAATGTCGAAAGCGCCGTCTCGTTGAGCCAGACCAATTTCCCGTATGAAGTTGGACTCTTCGGACAAATGGCCAGCGCGGAGTTGGCGTCGAAGTAGGTCAGTGGGCTGGGCGAAGTCGGCGAGGATGTCGTTGATGACGAGGCCGTCGCCGCAGGGCATCTGGTGAGCAAACCAGTAGAGCTTACTCCTGAGCTGCAAGGGTAATATGTCGTACACAACCATGCAGTAGCGCGACTGTGGCGGATCTGATCGGTACCTGGCCTGCAGACGGGCCCACAGGGTCGCGTAGTGGCTGTGTGGGGGGAGCGGAATGGCCCCGCCCATAGTGAGGAGGACTTCTATAGCGGAGAAGGAGGCGTGCGAGTTGAAATAACAGCGGCTGTATAGCTTGATGCGCGAAGCAGGGTAGTGCGAAGCATCAATCGAGAGCATGCGCGGCCTCAACTCGCTGGCGCCATGCGAGCTTAGGTAGTGGCGCACGTGACGCCAGTGAGCGACGATGTCGGATGGCAACAGCGCGAAGACGTCGTCCAAGAGGTCCAGCAGGCCTTGGGGAGAGAGACAGGAAGGTAGTAGCCAATACAGCTTGCCGCGTGCGCATGAAGCAGCAAGGTCAAAGCCGATGAACGTTGACGAAGGGCTGCATAAGTCGCATGCGAGGGCCGGGTGAACGGTGTGCTCCCAGTAGGCGAGGCGCGCCGTCACCGCCACCCACACATCCGGCAGCATGTCGATACGGTACGCCCCGGAGCCGCTTCCCGCACGCGTCAACCCGTCAATCGCCAAACGGGCGGCGGAGAGAGACGCCGAACGAGTCAGAGTCTTGTCTGGCGCAACCACATCGACGACATAGCGGACCGCAACCGACGTGGTGCCATTCCAGCTGTAGCTTAATTCCAGCGGTGTCGCATCGCATGTTAACGCCGACGGAAAAGCAGGGCGCAGTGGGCTCGGCGGCCCTTGTCCCAGCCAGGAACAGACGTGGTCGTTGAAGAAGGCAAGGTGGCCATTGATGTCGCTGGTTGTATACGACTCGCTGGCATTCAAGGCGTGTGCCAGGTGCGGGCCGAGTAGTGCAGCCCATCTGCGCCGTGACGTCTCAGATTCGTGATTTCCAGCATTGTGTGTTGGGATTTCGCGAGCAACGTGCGCCTGGACGAGTGTCGGCGACATGGGAAGCGATCGGGCGATTGTAGTTCCGGCCGGTGGCGGTGCTCACGATGAATTAGTGGTGCGAACGGTAGAGTTTATTGGGAGATGCCGCAGCACATTTATACATCAGCCGAGTCCAATCTAGCCATCTACGTCGCATGTATCCTCACATCCAATCCAGAACGACCATCATCGCAACCTCTGCCACGTCCAGCCACGTGACCCGCTTGCTTACCTTCATGGTATATTTCTCTTTCGGTCGGTATACGCCCAACTCATCCTGCTCCATGAGTTCTCGTCGCTCCGCAACGGTGGGCGGGGATGTCATGTACCGGAGCGGCACCGACACTTTGTAGACACACTCTACCAGACGTAGTGCCGCGCCTGTACCTTGCCCGCCTCTACCCGGCTTGTTTATCAGGACCGATCCCAGGGCCGCCAGGGCAGACGTGGTGTAAACAAAGTACGCCAACATCGTCCATGACAGCATTCGGGTCGCGAGTCCTTTGCGCAGGCGGGCCTGACGCTCGTTGACTGCCGATTGAACTGTTCCTGTGGCTGTAAAAGAAACGATAGTCTGCGGTAGCGCCAAGTATATCATTCTTGCTGTGGTCCCTGTCCATATGTGTTAATCTTCAACTTAGCTAGACGAGCTCATGGCGATACTCACAAGGCGCTGCCCAAAACCGGCTTTCCGTCTGCCGCCCTACCTTCCAGTAGATCATGGCATTGTTGATCTTGTCCATGAGTATCGTGGCCAGGAGAAGTCCTCTCAAGCTATGTCTCTCAGAGCCCCACGTTTGCCCTGCTACACCTCCGTTGCATCTACTCGCAATCCATAATGTGACGGGCAAGAGGATCATAGCGATGCAATCCGTTGCAGCGGTGAAGGAGCGCAATATTTTGATGATGGCGGACAATCTCTGCGGAACAGTCCTACGAGGTGCCGGGTCTCGTGATGGGATGAAGAAATTGATGCCTTTCATCAAGAGTAAATCACCGTCGGCCTGCATGCACTTGTTAACGACCGACCACATGCCCACTTCACCATCATGTCTGGGCGGTAACGTACCCAGCGCATCCTCTGTCTGCTGAGTGCTTCAAAAGATCCTGCGGTAAGACCGTATTGTACGAACTCCTTTACAAAGGCGATACCCCATCCATGTCCAGCCAGCATGTAGGAGCAAAAGATATCCTCGCCGACGGGCACTTTGGGCCACCCTCCAACTTGCTTGAGCGCGCTGCGCCTGACAATATAACCCGAGCCAAAACAATGCGAGAGGCCAATGTTGTCGTGCATCGGTTCGAAAATTTCCATGGATGCCGGGCCGGCCTGACCGAGCAGGTCTGGGTTGGGAATGTTGTAATGCCACTATTTGCATTAGCATTGGTTCAGTAGTCGCACAGTTTCTTGGTGTGCCGGATTCTTACCTGTGCTGGGCATGCCAACGCCATACCGGAATCGAGAATAAGATGCGGCACAACTCGGCGAAGCCAGTCAGGCTCCGCTATCATGTCGACATCCAGACTGGCAAAGTATTCGGAGCCCTTGCCAAAATTCTCTGTCGTCTCCAGCCCGAAGCGAAGGTTTCCCGCTTTGTAGAAGTGAGACTCGCCTTTCAACTTAGTCCTTGCAAGGTATTCAACCGATGTGCCATACAAGCGGTTATAGTCGCTAACGGCATCTTTCAGCGCTGCATTTCCGCCGTCGTCAAGTACAAAGACGCGAAAGCTCGCCGAGGGGTAGTCCTGCATGGCGGCACCCGCAACTGTATCCATGATGACGTCGAGCTTTTCTCCGCAGCATGTTATGCAGACATCGATGGTAGGCGCTTCCTGTCCAGAAAGTCGATAGGACGAACGGTGTTTGTTGCGTGTGCCGAAGACGATGTATAGAGCCATATGTAGCGCACTGAAAATGGCTGGGAGGAGGAGAAGCACCTCCGTCAAGAATATCAATCCTGGAAGCCAAAAAGAAGCACTTGCTGCTTGCGTGAGGGGCGGGAGATTTCGATATCTGCGAGTAAGATAGACGGCCCATAGCGACCATGACACAAAATAGGTGACGACGGTTAGAGGATGGTCAAACGTGTACGGCTCTGGCTGCTTGGCCAGTTCCTCGATAGAGTAGTTCATGGTATCGGCCTTAACACGTCTCCATTCTCGTTGTTCCATGATTTGAATCGTTGAGAAGTAGTTCCGAGTAGAATACGCCTGTGATTCGCTGAAGTAGTCAAGATTGCGGCTGGAGGCAGAAGAAGGGATGAAGAAGCGTGATGATCGATAATTCGAGATACCATCGAACCAAGATACATTTGACAGTTACTCAAGATCCGAGAGAGTCTTGACAGAGTGGAGAAACTTGGATAGGTGGTTGCCGTATCCCTGCTGCCCGAGCTGACCGCTTGCCTGCCACTGCGCAGGTTGACGTGAAGGCTGCATCCGGCTACCCAAACATCGGGTGTAGCATCGTTTTCGACATGTAGTCGATATATAAATCTGCCGTTCGGAAGGAATGTGTGTGCCATCCACCCCAAGCCCGTCATGCCTGGAACACTACTTCCCAGCCACTTTTCGCTAGAGTTCAGTATCAGGCCGAATGTTCTCGCCTTCCCAAAATACCAGACAACCACGTCCGACTACGAGAAAGCACGTGCAGCTGTATGTCTCGATGCCAACGAGAACTCCGCCGGTTCTTGTCTGGCGCTTGCGCCCAAGGATGAGCCCCGCATTTTCGACGCGCCCATGCGCTGGTGGCGCAATATGCTGCAGGGCTCAATCAATCTCGACAACCTGCATCGATATCCCTCGGCGTCTCAGGTATCCCTACGTCGGCGGGTCGTGCAGTGGCGAGGTCTTGACTGTACGTACAGATGTCGTTTCTCTTGTCGTGAAGCCCGAGTTCGCTAGCTAATCACGACTCGCCATTAGCCATCAACCAGGTCGGGCTAGGGTCTGGCGCGTCGGATGTTGTCGATGTCATCATACGAATGATCTGTACACCTGGTGAAGACAAGATGCTCGTCTCGCCTCCTACGTTCGACTTGTACAAAGTATGTGCAACGCTCCAAGGCGTCGGTGTGGTGGAGTGCGTGCAGAGCCTGGCAGACGATGGGACCTTCCACGTTCCGGTAGAGCAGGTTTGTCTATCCCCAATCTGGCCAAGCGTGATGCACGGCTGACAAGGCCACGTCTAGATCTGCGCGACACTCTCGGAAGATCCCCACATCAAGCTGCTCATCCTAGCGTCGCCGGGCAACCCCACAGGCTCGCTGATTCCCATCAATCAGATACAACGCATTCTCGATCTCAACGGTCCGTGCTGCCCAGATTTCCACGTTGACAGAAGCTAACAGACTCGCTACCGTTAGCTTTCAAGGGCATTGTCGTTGTCGATGAGGCCTACATAGATTTCACGCCAGCGGCAACGCAGGCCTCAGCTCTGCAACTCTTGCCAAGATACAACAATTTGATCGTCGTACAATCTCTGAGTAAATCTCATGGACTTGCCGGAATCAGGTACGTCGGCAGTCAGCCAGCTTCCAGCTCACGTTCTGTGTCGTGCAACGCTAAAGGTGTCCAGGGTCGGCATGGCCATTGCGCATCCTGCCATTATAGACATCTTCTCCAAGGTGCAAATGCCATACAAGCTGTCAAGTGTGGTATTGGATATTGCCGAGCGAGCGCTCTCCGAAAGCGGCCAGACATCTGCACTTGCACTGCAGCGCCAGATCATGGCTGACAGGGACACTTTGGTCAAGATGCTTGCAGACCCCTTGCTTACGCGTAATCGCATTGGTGCTGCCATCGGTGGCCAGTCTGCAAACTTCGTACTCGTCCCCATTGTAACGCTAGGCGAACGAGACGACGTACTAGCAAAGCGCCTAACTGAGCAGCTACGAGAGCAGCACGCCATTTCCATTCGATACGTGGGTGGACAACCCGGATGTAAAGGCTGTGTGAGGATTACAGTGGGGACGGCACAGGAACTGAACACACTCCGCGAGGCTCTTCGGATGGTGCTTTTGGAGCTAGATTAGCCGTGGGCCCGAGCGCCGAACCAATACATACCTCTACGCACATGGTGTGTGTGTGGCCTTCCTTAGACAATCACAAAGTTAGCACCTAACGCTTCATACTCTTTGGGTAATTGGGTTCGGTGGATCACGGGAGTACCCTCGCGCGATGACGGGCAGCCCCGGTGCCCATTTCCCCAAACTAGCTAGCTTCCTGCGAACTGCAGAAGCGATGATCCACACCCTGCATACCAACCATGTTGGCCTGCTCCAGATGTTGTTCGCGACATCTGTCATTGCACTAACACCGCATCTATAGCATGAGCCTCGAATTCCATCAAAGCCAGCGAAACGTCCCAACATCGGCCGTGCATTGGTCCGGTATCGATGAGAGGAGCGATCTACCATCATCCCAAGAGATCGATCTCCCTGATCAGGGCCAATTAATGAGTATCTATCATCGCGAGAGCCGTCCACAGCATACACAATGGAACTATCTCGGCGAAATACACATGCACACAAAGCGGCGCTAGCAAACAATGACCATAGCCCTCTGGAGGAACATTCGCGCCCCGAAACCGTGATAGGAAGTTGTATGAAACATGCACCGGCATTATAAAGCAAGGTCGCAATCACTGTGTCACGAGGCGAAGAGACAGTAGCCACGCCGTAGACATCCCACAAAGCCATACCACGTTCTCAAGCCTGTGAGCCTCTTTCTCTCTAATTGGCTATTCGATCCTTTATCCAGCCTGCATCACAAAGCCGGCGACATGCAGCACCACCGAGCGACGTCACTTTTTCAACCTTCCAATTTGGCTCATGCCATGCGGAAGACTATGGACCCTTCCGCTCCACCGTCTTACCTCTTTGGCTCGATCATGGCATTCCCGCATACAATGGTCGCCCGTACCATTGCTGTGCTGGGTATGGATTACGTCATGGTCGATGCGCTGCATACGTAAGTGATGAAGACACTGGAGCCCACGCCACAATTCTAACATTAACTCCAGTCCAATCGATGCCGAGAACCTAGTCCGCATCATCCACACCATCAACTTCTGTAGCGAAGGAAAAACGGTTGCCGTCGTACGCGTTCCATCTGCACACTCGGACCTCCTCACGCACGCGCTTGATGCAGGTATGTTACATATGTCCACTCAGCTGCATGACTGTCATAGTACATGCATCGTCGTAGACCGACACATTCCTGATGCGACAGTATTTCTCAACAAATGCTAATCATCGCATCTTTATCCATATTCAGGCGCTGCAGGAATCATCTTCCCACATATCGATACCGCCGAGCAAGCTGCCGAAGCCGTGTCCAAGTGTCGCTATGCAACCTCTGGTGGAGACCGATCACTATCGCCATGCGCCCTGGTGCCTGGCATCACAGACACAGCGCCCCACGGTTTGACACACGATCGAGTAGCAGACAATCACATCGCAGTTATCTGCCAGATCGAGAGCCAGGTATGTCATCAGTGCGGAGACGGCAGTCACACCTCGTGCTGACTGAATCAAGCTAGCAATGGACAACGCAGATGCCATTGCCGCTACAGATGGTGTGGACTGCCTCATGCTGGGACCCGGAGATCTCCGTCTCTCATTAGGCGTGCCAGCACGCAAATACGGCGAACGCGACGACCCGAGGTTTCTCGATGCCGTCAATAGGCTCATCGGCGTCAAGTACCGTCATGGAAAGCCGCTCATGACAGTATCGTTCAAGATATCCGCGGCCGAGGACTCATGGGTGAAGCACTTCAATTTGTTGCTGGCGACGGCAGACTTTGTCGATGTAGTGAAAGGCCACCAAGCTGCTTTGGGAACTATCAAGACTACGCTTGCTGGTTTGAATGAGACATTGCCCATGGGTATGGCGTTTGAAGAGAAGATCAAGCAACGTCGTGATAGTCATGAAGCTTGAATAGATTCTGCTTGTAGTGTTTTGGGTTGATGAACAGACGCATTTTGCCCGCTTCCTTAGAAATGAGAATAGCATTCGTTTCACAGTTCATCTATAGACCTGCCCACCAAAACGTCTCTTCAAGAACCAAAGTATCTCGGAGGAAGTCTGCTCTACTGCTCGTGCCAACCAAAACATCATACTCGCCTTTTTCACAAGCCCAGCGACCTTCCGCTTCGTCCCAAAACCCTAACGCATACTTGAGCTCCATCTCAACTGCGACCGTAGTACTAGACTGCTTGGCAACAAAGCTCTTCTCAAATCCCTTAAGCTCCTTCGCCGGACGACCAACACTGGGTTTCCGCTGTGCGATATACACCTGCACGACTTCCGCGCCGTCACGGTCACCCAGGTTGTCAATATTGACCTGCGCCGTAATCACCGCCTTCTCTTTCGAACCCTTCACTTCGAGCTTTAGACCAGAGAGACGAAACTCGGTGTATGACAGGCCGTGACCGAATGGGAAGAGTACAGGTTTCTCCATCGTGTCGTAGAAGCGGTATCCAACGTACACGTCTTCGGCATACAGTATACGCTTCCTCTCTGCCTGACTACACAGCCACGTGGGATTGTCGCGCAACGAAAGCGGAAAGGAAAGCGGTAGCTTACCCGACGGATTGACATCGCCATACAAAACATCGCTAATCGCATGTCCCGTCTCGTTACCCCCATACCAAACGTGCAGCAAAGCCTTGGTTCGACCAGCCCACGGCATCGTGACTGGACTCCCTGAACTAATGCAGATGACAGCGTTGGGATTCGCATCCAGTACACTCTCAATGAGCTCGCCAGTGTGCTGTGGGAGCTCGATGTTGGGTCGATCCGCGCCCTCGTTCTCCCAGTCTCCCATTAGGCCCGCCAGAACAACGACTTGGTCCACCTGGCCCGCTAGCGAGGCAGCTGCGCGGATTGAAGCCGATACATCCATCTGGTAGCATCCGCCTAGTCGTAGCCCGCCGGGATGAAAAGTAAGTGGCGAATTCTTGATGAGATCAGACGTGTGCGCACCAGCCCAGTGCACTAGGACGTCGTATGTCTCGCCCTTGGTGAGGTGGACAGTACCGACTTTCTCCACGGTACCCGCGCGGAAAAAGCCTTCGCCAAATTGCTGGTCCTTGGTATTGTCTACAACGAGTTTCCCGTCGACGTAAAGATTCGCGGTACCTTGCACACTAACGCCAAAGTCATAGGGCCCTGTTTCGCTTGCAACAAGGCGCCCTGAGATATCCACGTGCCAGTTCTGGCCATCGACACGATCCATATTCTCGTAGTTGAGGAAGTATCCACATGAGTTGAGGAACTCGTACTGATCGACTGGGGTACGCGACGCAACGGTTGGTGGCTCCGCGAAGATGTACATGTCGAATCCGGATTTGCCGTCTTTGGTGAGGAGCTGGTGGCCGAGAAGAGGTCGTTCTTTGTGATTGTATATTCCACGAGAGAAACGAACTTCTCCTTTGCTTCGCTGGGTAATGGCATCTAGTGGGGTCACTGCATAGTACGGTCGCAGATGGGCAATGCGGCCACCACGATATGCTGCGATAGCAGCGTTTGGACCTATCACGGCGACGGGTTTGTTGGGATCAAGCGGAAGCACTTTTCCCTCATTCTTCATCAGGACGATCGATTCGGCTGCAGCGCGACGGAGTAGTTTGCGATCTTGTTCGCGGTTCAAAGGCTCTTCAGGCGCGTTCTCAGGAATGTTGGAGCGGGCAGCTTCTTTGACCATATTCAGGACGCGCCGCACGCAGTTGTCAAGGGCACGCGTGCTGAGGCGGTCGGCTAGGAGTGAGTGTGCGAGGCTTTTTCCTCTCCATTGGCTGGGCCCTGGCATCTCGAGGTCTAGTCCTGCTCGTATTGGACTTGTTGTTGCATATAGACCGTGCCTATTCATTAGGAAGTCAGCGTTTGCGTCTTCCCGAAAGCATGTTTTCAAGGGTGAAAGTGTCAAGCTACTCACCAATCGCTCATGACAAGACCGCGGAAGCCCCATTCTTCCCTTAAGATTCCAGTCAGGATCCGCTCATCTTCGGTAATATGAACACCGTTGATCTTGTTGTATGCTGCCATAATAGCACCCGGGTCGCCGATCTTGATGGTCAACATAAACGCCATGAGATAAATCTCTCGTAGAGCGCGCTCAGTCACGATGCAATTCATGCTGAAGCAGCCTTGTTCTTGATCAGAGCAGAGAAAATGTTTCGGCGTGGCTATGATTCCTTTCTCTTGGATACCAATGCACATGTAGCCTGCAAGAACACCCGCGAGAAGAGGGTCCTCTCCGAGGGCTTCATGACCACGGCCTCCAATCGGAGTGCGTGGAATGTTCACGCAGGGTGCGAGCAGAACATGCGTTCCTTTTGCGATACATTCATCGGCTAATAAGCCTCCTACCTCGCGCAAGAGCTGCCGGTCCCACGAGGCTGCAAGAGCTGGCCCAGCTGGTAGGCATATTGTTGGCGTTGAGTTGAAGAAACGGGTACCGCGCACCGTGTTTGGACCATCACTTGTTCTTAGTGCTGGTATGTCTAACCGTGAAATAGGCACGGTGTGTGCAAAGTCGCGTCCTAAGATCATGTCAATATTAGAAGAGCTTCACTGGTACCTGGGTATGTAGTCAATTCAACATACCAGCTGTTATGTCGCATTTCTCGGCGACGGTCAGTCGAGAAAGGACGTCTTCAACATCGATATCAGCCATTGTATTCTGTATGAATGAATACTGTGATGATTTGGTAGTTCTCTCGCGTATCTATCTTGATCTTGAAGTGGTTCTTTGTTGAAGTCGCGTTGATGACGATGACGGTAACCTCCAAAGAGTTTAGCTTAATAGGCCTTACACCCCGCCAGATTGCCTGGCAATGATACTGGTTCAGCTCGGTCCCCCGCCTGCTCACACGTCCACTGGCACTGAAGGGGCCCAAATTGGTCGTGCATGGCATTAATCTCTTTCAGTCTTGATTTCGTATGGCGTGCATGACACTTCACTGCATGCTATCTTGGCGACCCCCGGTCTTCATCGTTCCTCATCCATACACTACATGTTCATTCGCCGAGGCAGTGGTGACAAAGAACTTCGACGGTGACTCGTCTTCCTTCAACCACTCAATTTCGAATTCCAGCCCTGTTTCCCTCGTCCATCTTTGCACCAGTGATTGCGCTGCGTAAGGAAGTGCCATCTTCATGGGCGCCTGATACCACCAGGGGAATATGAGAAAAGCTAACATGATGCGGGGCACGTTAGTCTTGTTGGGCATCCCTGCGTGCCATAGCCTCACATCCCGAAGCACAAGATCTCCTGCCTTGACCGAGATCTGCACCGGCGGAAGGACCTTGAGCCTTTCGCTGACAAGTTCTGGCCGAATACTTGAAAGGCCTCCCGGCGCGTCGCGCGAATCGACATGATCGGCAAGACTGGTGTCTCGGTGACTGCCAACCCACACTTCCGTGCCGCCGTTCGTGGGACATGTGTCGATGAGATAGTAGTTCGCCACCAGTGCGAAAGGGAAGCGGAGGTGATTGTGGTCGAGATCTGCATGAACGGTTTGTCGCTCAGTTGAGTATAGTGCTGTATTTCCATTGGCGTAATGCACTCGTGGGCTTGGCCCTAGCATTGCGGCGCTGATGGTTGCTGTGAAAGGATTTGCCCAGACTGATTGGAACATGAGCTCGGGTGTAGCAGGCGGTGGCTGTGAGATATTGCGGGTAGCTTTGCCTTGATTGAAATGCGTGGATGGATCATTGGCCAGCTCTTCAGATCTCTCGGTGAGGACAGAATTCAGCTTTGCTATGGCAGCTTTGTCCACGACGTCTTCCAAAACAACTATCCCGTCCCTGTGCAGGATTGATACTGCGGCACCAACGGTCGCTGCACTAGGGACTTGACTTGCTCGTTCCTGATCTGGCACGATGATGCGCTGAATTTGATTTGATGCCATCCTGGTGATGTGGTAGGCGATACAATGGTAACGACTCTTTTCTCGCTGTCTTTACAAGCACGACAACGTGTCGGCGTGGAGTTGGGGTGTCAAGAAACAGCGTACCCCGAGTACGTGAGAGAGCTTTGGTGAAAATTCAAACAGCAATAGGCTTTGCGTGCCCAAAGACCATCTACAAGTCCGATGCACTGCACAATCTTTTTCTAGTCTAAAACCCAGATCGCTAAGTCTAACGGTTGCCATGAAGCGCCCGGCAGGTGACGAGAGGGCCACAGTACCTCATCAACCATGGTGACATACCGTCGCTTCCCGATGCCCAGTGCCGGGCAGGAGATTGGGGGAAGCCGGGTCGTCTTTGCATCTCTCCAGCGCGGCGGCGAGTGCAGACTTCGCTTTCAGCCATTCTTTTTCCGCACCCCTGTCCTGAAGCAGCCACCGGCAACTCTCAACCAACTCTTCTCCTATCTCAGGCAGAGATAGTGCCTTAGCTTCCACGCCAAAGAACCCATACGTCAGGCCGTTCACCAACGACTGCCGCGATACCGTTTGCGAAGCTGGCCGACGGACGGTGTCGTATATCTTTAGCGCCTGCGGCACATCGGACGCCGTCATCTCGGGGCGCCCTAGTAAGCGAGCCAGGATGTATGCATCCTCAACACCCTGACCCCCACCAAGACCTTGGTGTGGTGTCATGGCATGCGCAGCGTCACCGATCAGGCACACGCGGTCCGTTGCGAAGGTTGGAAGTGGGTGTACGACGTGGACGGCCCATCGCGATGCAGCCGTTGGAACCTGCAGCAGATCGACAAGGTCTGGTTCCCACCCGGCGAAACGCTCGGCGATTTGTGAAGATGGCACCTCGGCAACCCACGGGCCATCGAAAGGGGGCGCCACCCCGTCTGCATCAAAGACATTGTCGTACGCCGTCATCTGGATGTCGTCCCGGACAGTATTCGAGGTTACGTGTCTTCCTTTTCCGCACCACTGCGCGCATTGCCGCCATGATCAGTCAATGAGCTAGTGCACTCGGAGGACGCCTTACTATTTTGAACCCGTCTAACGCCACGTTATTGGGATGCCTTTTTTGGAGATCGGCTTTTGGGCAGCTCATCCTGTACGCAAACTGACCGCTGAAATGAGGTGCAGATAGTACATCGTTGCCCAGAAACATGTGCCGTCGTACGCGTGAATGAACTCCATCAGCCCCGATGAGCACATCAGCTGTGAAGTCGCTACCGTCTTCGAAGAGCAGGGTGAGACTCCCAGAATCTTCTTGGATGTATGACTTCATCTTCTTGTTCGTTTTGATATGACATCGTCCAGTATCGGCGTGCGTATGAAGTATGTCCAGAAGGGCATCTCGAGGGACAAGTCTAGGTCCATGGGGTATCTGCGAGAAGTCTGTTCCACCGGAGGGTGTATCGGACTTCCGGAGGACGGGCCCACGAACTGGAGTGGAGTTAGCTGCTAGCAGATACTCATTGACTACGGCTGCTACGTCCTCAAACGAAATTGCAGTACGTGCCTTCTGACCATGGAGTACATCGTATGCCTTTAGAAGCACACAGCTCATCCATATCCATGTATTCTTCGAAGATATCCCAGAATCTCTTCCATACTGCGATGCCAGCGCCAATGGCGCGGATCTCTGGCTTGCTCTCAAATAAGTGAACGTCGACATCTGGATATCTTGCCAGCAATGCCGCAACAGTCATCCCAGCGATGCCACCTCCACTAAAATGTCTTGGTGAGATTTTGGCGCTCAGTTCTTTTCGGGCTTCACCTACCAGATGGCCACCTGCAAACGCTTTGCATCCGACATTGGCGTTACAGACAGACGGTAGAGGGCGTGAAGAATTTGGCGAGAGCGCGAGGCTTCGGTATCAAAGTTCATGAGTATACTGATCAACGAACCATGCCTGATTTGGGCGTAGTACAGAGTGCGCTGGCAATGCATGAACCATGTTCATGGACGCTAGCTAGCCAAAATATAGCCCTGCAAATCTGACTGTCAACATACTTGAGCGCTGCACATATCACGTTCGTCATCGCCAACTTGCGCTTTTGTGATCCGATATCAGCATATCATCAGCATATCATCAGCACATAAATTAATTTCTCGGGCCCTGAAAATATCGCTTGCAACATGTCTCCTAGCCATGTCGTCCTCTCTTGTAAGGCAAATTGGAGTACGTAAATCCAGAGATGAGAAGTTGTCAGCATTCTGACACAACACCAGGTCATCTCCGCTCCATGTGCATCCTATCTGCGCGGATAGCGTATTCAAGAGCCGTCTCCGTCACGATACTGGTAGCTAGTTCCGGTAATGTTGTCGATAGGGTAACCCAAGAAGTTTCAAGATGTACGGATATTGAGCAACTCGATAACTCCAGCAAAGTGAGGTAAGCATCATTGTGATGCAGAAGCATCGCGTGCTTCCTGATGTCTTTGTCGGTCTATACTTACATCGGAGTAGGGTCATCGGTCTGCCATCAAATGGTAGAGAGGGTAGATCTCTGGACGATGAGTTCAAGCTTATTTGGAAGGCTTTGATGGAAAGTAAACCTGTGAGATGCTGCTCTACGTTGAAGGAACTTGAAGCAGTCCCCAGACCTTCGGTGGTCGTACTTGATGTAGGGTGATCTAACTTTCCGTTCACACTGCGCGACTGATCGTTCTCAATGAAGGGATTCCAATTATCATGGCTCGAGATTGTAAAATCTGAACAATCATCTCCACCCGTCTTCCAATGGATGATGGCATTTTCAGGAGGCTTCATGCACATGTGCGGGCCGGCACAGTTCGGAGGAAGAAGTGGAAAGCCTATGAGTCAGGACTCGCACGACTGTGAGGACGGCGTCACAATCCCAGGCATGCCTCCAATGACGTGTCGCGATTTGAATCCTGAAGATGTGGGTGACAAAGCGAGCAAGATCCATGCTGCGGAGGCCACAATGACGAGGTATATTGCACAAATTTTGGACTACATTGTTAGTAGCTAACGTTTCAGATTTGCGGAACGAGCTGACGGGCTCTTGACAGCATGCGCTCCAGAATACGATAGTGTGGAATGTCTCGATGCTATATCACAATGGATTGGAAGTCATGACGACCGGAAGACGTTCCATCTTGGCCCTATGTTGCCGCTCATTCGAGGCACTCGTACCTTTTCTGCCAAAGCTATCGAAATAGAGATCAATACATGCCCGGAAGGCTCGGGTACCGCCATCACCCAATTTCTGGACGAATGTCTCATTACAAACGGAAAGCAGAGTGTGATCTACATTAGCTTTGGCACTGAGCATTGGTTAGTGTCTCGTCTGCTTCATGCCCACTCTTTCCTCGGCCTAATTTGTAGTGTCCTAGGCCGTCGTCTCTTAATTACCTCGAGACTCTTCTAGACTACATCGTTGCCCGCAATCATCCTTTCGTAAGTGCAGTGAGCACAAGAACGCTGAAAGGCAAGGCACAACTGAAAATCTTTCAAGATACTCGCGCACGCTTATCCGAATGCCCACACGGGCTCTAGACTGAAGAGCAAATACCTTGGCAGCTGCAAAGCGATCATATCGCCATTCGTGCCGCAACAAGCGATTCTGGCTCATGAGGTATGTCTGAATCACAGCTCCTCTCATTGACTCCATGAACAATACTGACATCGGTGATATAGGCTTGTGGATGGTTCATAACCCACGGAGGCGCGAATGGAATCATGGAAGCCCTCACCCAAGGAGTTCCAATGTGTGTACTGCGAGACTCATTCAATATGCCTACTTACATGTACCAGGATGGGCTGGCCCTTTGCCATCGACCAGCCCCTCAATATCGCATACATGGCGCGTACCATAGACGCTGGCTTCGAGTTCACAAAGATGCGCGTTGATCGCTGCCCTCTAAACACGGGGAACACGGAGGATACAACATGCGATATGAGTGGTTGGGAACGCGAAGTGCAAGCCATCCTTGATGCAGCGTTCACGGAGACTGGGCAAAGGAAGCGTGAGAATGCTGTAAGAATTGGCGAGAATCTTGGCCGAGCATGGGCGGAGAAGGATGGCAGAGCCAGGGTACAGCTTAATGAGTTCTTGGATTTGGTGAACGTGTAAATAAAAGAAGAAAGCAGATTCGCGAGCCTGCTTGTTGAGATGAAATGTAATTTGCAAAGGCTTGTGTGCAATTACCAACCACTTCCGATATTGTAAGTAGCAGCAGCATGTGTACCCAACTACGAGGCTAATGCCCTTGAACTCGGCTCAATATGATCACGACAGTATTCGGATGCATGACGTGACGTGATGCACGCATACAAACGTTCCCGTTCGAGCAGCCGCATATAAAAAGCAAGTCGCCTGACGCGTGTGACAGCCCCGCACCTCGTTTCGCTACACCGTACTTCATACCCAGGTAATCTTGAGTGGATAAATTTATCAGCGCCTGGAAACTTTTCAAGAACAAAGACTGGGCAAAGACCTCGCCTCCGTTCACTTGAACCTTACCCAACCTTCATCATCTGACATGTCGACCGACAACGCCCGCCGCCTAGCATTCTTCTCTCACCCACGCACCGCCTCGAACCTCATCCTCAAAATCCTGAACATAACCTCTCAGCCCGACATACTCCAACACCCCGACCTACCCGACTATGGCCACAGTTTCAGTCCCGCCATCAAGCTGAAATTCGATGGCGAGCGCGTTCGAAAGCCCGGCGAATGGACAGAAGAAGAACGAACAGCAACGATCGATCATTACGGAAAAGGTCTTGCTACTGTCACCGAATACGCCGCTTTAGCCGAACGCCAGGGCAAGACAGCGTTCTTCCGCGAACACAGCATATCAATATCCGATCCCGTTGCGCAGTACTGCTTCTATTCTGGTACCAGTTTCGGAAGCGAAGATGCGTGGTCCGTTCCCTCCGCACACTCGACGTATAATGGGACCCTGCTTCCCGACGACTTTCTTCGGCAATGGTATCCCATTTTCGTGATCCGTCATCCAGCATCAGCATTCTCATCTTATTACCGCGTGCTCAAAGCCTCAGACTCAAGCCCAGAGAAGGTACTGCAACAAGCCACCATGGTAAACACCTACCACTGGACACGTACCCTATACGATCTCTACAAACATACCTTCGGTATCACCGGAATCATCCTCGATGCAGACGATGTCGTCGCGAATCCCCAGATGCTTATTAGCGTCAGCAAACGTGCTGGCTTGGACCCGCAGAAGCTTAAGTTTACCTGGAATGCGACGTCGAGTAAGGCGGAGATTGCGGCGAAGACGACACATGATCCACAGCATTTGGAGTTTATGGAAACGCTGGATAGGTCGACGGGGGTTATTAGGGGAGATCTGAGGAGCAAGATCGATGTGGAGATTATGGGAGGGAAGTGGAGGGAAGAGTTTGGGGAGCTGGAGGGGAGGAGGCTTGAGGGGTGGGTTGTGGCGGCTATGGATGATTATAGATACTTGGAACAGGAGAAGTTTCGTGAGTGATTGGGATTGGTTTAACATGCAATCAATCCCATTGGTACGACTCGAATGAGCGAACATTCGTTAGCAACATCCGCTTCGCTGATGTTTGTCCACGGTATATTGAGTTGCGGCATCGCGGCATAGGCGTCTGATACCGGATGTTGTGTGCCTGAGGGCCCCTCCTGAAGACAATGGTACCGCGGTCTTCGAACCGCTTGGTATACGTCTGGCACCGCCAGCCGTCAAACCTCACCATTCCATACCCCAAAAGCCCCTTACATCTCTCAGCGCCCTAAAAACCGCAAAATGATCCTCTTCCTCCATAACAAACAACAACTGCATCCCTCTCCTCCGCATCTCCTGATGGCTCGCCCAATCCGCACACCGTGCCAATCTCTCAAAGAGTTGTCGGAGCATCTGGGAGTCGGCGACGCATACGACCTCTCGGCCATTCATGTCCCCTCGACCATCTGTGTCCCCTCGTTCCTCGGGGTTATCGAGAAGATCAGGCTTGCCCAGGATATGCAGATCCTGCACAATAGCTTCGAGCTTAGGCAACAGGTCCCACAGTCGGCTAGCCGTGATACGTTTCTCCCATTCGAGGTCAAGCGCGCGCATCATGAAGTGGTTCAGCAGGGTACTGTATACTTTCGTCGTATACTCCGATGGACAATCGATGCGTGTGCGTTCAACAACGTGACCAGCTTGGTAGTAACAAAACTCTTTGTAGAGATCACGCGCAACGACACCATCCGGTATCTCCCGTCCACTCCCCCCAAACCAAGTCTCGGCATCGGTATCCAGCTCCCGCACTTTCTGCATAGGTACACGACCCAGTATCAGTTCGTGGATCATGCTTCCCAAGGACCACAGATCGGATTCGGGGCCGTGGCGATAGTCGGCTTCGGGGGGTTGGAAGGACGGTGTACCGAAGTGGCCCCGTGGGATTTCTGGTGGCGGGTTACATGACGCAGCGCCGAAGTCTACGATCTTGGGTAGGGAGAAACGCTCGCCTTCTCGCGCCGCGGTGAGGAGGATGTTGGCGGGTTTTATATCGCCATGTACGACGCCGCGACTGTGCAGGAAAGCAAAACCACAAGCAACATGCTTGAACACATGCCAAAGGAATAGTTCGGGGATAGGTCCATCAAGCGTATCCAGGTAGTCCAGTAAATCGCCTCTAGGACAGTATTCGAAGATCAATTGGAGGCGAGAAGGATGCGGTGGACTCAGGACGCTGTTGTAGTATCGGATGATGTTGCCGTGGCGGCCTAGGTTTTGCAGAATCGTTGCTTCTGGTAAAGGTGCGGCGGGGTTAGGGAGGGTCAGAGTCTTTACTGCGACGAGGATGCCGGCTGAGGTGTCGAAGCAGAGATCTACGAGACCGTTTCCACCGGAGCCGATGCGTTTGACGAGCTCATACTGGGTCCAGATTGGCGGCGTGGGGGCTGCGCTGGTTTTGATGATGCGTAATTTGGTGAGCGCATTCTTGATGCCGAAGGTGCTTGCGCGTTTCTTCAGCTGTGACGTGTTATCTTGAGCCTGCCGCGCGTCTGTTGCTTGCACTAAGGTCTGGTCGGAATTAACAGGTTGCTTGGGGCTGCGCGCTGCCCTTCGCAAGTCGTGCAGAGTGCGGCGCCTGCCGAGGGGACGTTGGCTGCCTTGCTTCATGAAGCCCATAATTCTGACTACTTGGGCTGAGGTCAAAGCGGGAGGGAAAAGGGCTGCTGTAATTCAGTGGTAGCGAACGGAGTGTGGGTTGGAAGCGAACCATAGGGGAGCACAACTACCGACTTCAGGGTCATTTGGGTGACAGCTTTCTCTCGCCGCCCATGCGGCATTTCACTCCCAGTCCTGAGAGCTCATAAAAATCCATGTGAATACCTACAACTACGGAGGTTGAGGGAGGTTGTTTTAGATCTATCAGCAAACTGCAGTAGCAATGTTTCATCTTCGCCGCTGTAGCATGCGGTCATGTACCAGCCACATCGCGATACAAGATCACTTTGGTATTGCTCACACGCCTCTTCGTTCGAAAAGCAAAGGAAGGGGCTCAAGGTGGAGCGTGAAGCAGTCGGCTTGATGATCGATGAAGTACTGGCATAGAGCTTCCTGGCCAGGAGCAAATGCCATAGTGAACCGTCGGGAGATCATGGCAAGGACCATGCGTAACTGTAACATAGCCAGAGGCTTGCCCGCACAATTGTACGTGCCGGAGCCAAATGGCACAAATGCGTCTTTGCGAAGGATGAGGTCGGGGCGGGAGAACCAGCGTTCGGGTATGAACTCATTCGGTTGAACGAACGCGCGGGAATCTAAAAGGTCAGCTCAAGCTGCAACAAGTGGAAGAGAGACCACTACCTCGATGTAGCGCGTACGTCGGCGTTGTGACATTCATGTGGCCCGGTATGTGTCGGCCGGCGATGACTGCGCCTTCTGCGGGTGTCACACGCTGAAGACCGAAGGGGACAGGCGGATGCAATCTCAATGCTTCGTTGATGATACCATTCAAGTAAGGCTTGTACATCAGATCATAGTCGTCGGGGAAAAGAGAATGTAAGCCGGACAACTCATCGTGGAGCTTTGCCTGGTACTCGGGATGACGGCATAGCAGATAGCAAATGTTAGACATTGTGATGGCGTTTGTATCAGCGCCAGCAACGATAGCTAATTTGGCCTCTCTGAGAGCGTTGCCGCTGAAGGCGTTGGATTGCGACAGGTATGTGTATATGTCCGACGTCGAAACAATCTTCTTCGCACATGAGCATCAAGATTAGAAATTCGTCAGAACTTGGCTGACTTACCTTACTGCGGGCATTCAATGCTTCATCATACCAACCTTCCCAGGACTTCTGCTTCTTCACGGATATGCGCATGTTCTTAGCGAGGTGGAGCAGAGGCATGTTCAGCAAAGCGAAGCCAAGTGCTTTTTGTTTGCTGAGAAACTCTACCACGATCGGACTTCGCTGCTTCGTGGTCTGCGTGTTGAAAGACTGGCCAAATGTCAAGTCCGATATGACATCAAAGAACAGGTCTAAGAAGGTACTGCTGACGTCGATCGGTTTCCTTGATACCGCATGATTCGTAAGTATACTGGCAGTGGTTCGATAGTGCATTATAAGTCGTGGCACATATCCCAATAGTGCTAGAGCTGTTAGCTGTGATAGTCTAACATTTCATCATGCTAGCTGGCGACGTCGATTATGTGGAATTAGAAGTGGCAGGACAGAAGGGGGTGTATGCTCGACCCTGGTTGCTTGGAAGCAAACGAAAGCGAAGATCACTGACCTAGACTGCGAAAAGCTCTGTCCCAGTACCGACGCTGTCCCGTGTGGAGGTTCGTATCGCGGATGAATTGGAGGCTGTGAAATGGATGGGTCTGATCGTAGAATTCGCCTTTCCTGACCTTGCTCCTCGGCCCGTGTACGTTCGATATCGCATCAGGATGGCAGATCGAAATCTCTCGTGGCCCTACACAAGATTAACAACGCACTCGTTTGAATGCTCGACAAACCTACTTATTCGCACAAAGTCCCCGTATCGATCGTGCAGGCTGCGCATCTTGACATATAGGTCGAGGTCAGGATAGTTCTGCTTGATGACCCATAAGCTGGTTATCCGTGCAGCTATAGGTCCTGGAAATGATCTGAGAGGGTGTAACAATAGTCGATACACAGTCATGGAGCTGAGAAGGCCGCTGACGAAGGACGCGGTCATGACGCCCACGGAAGCGAAAGAAGAGATCCAGGAGGCATTCCCGAAAACACTAAATGCTATGACTGTAGCTGCGAAGAGGACACATGCTGAGGATAGGATGCTGGCTGAATGGCGGTCCCATTCGCGATGCCTGGCGAAGACAGTAGCGTGGAGCACGACGCCCGCAGCGAATGTAATAGCGAATCTCATATTTTGTATTCTGGAATAAGAGTGATTGATGGAGGAGAAGGGTTCATTGTTTGGAAGTCATCTAATACGGCGGGTAGCAGCAGCTATGTGTTGCTGCCAGGCAGTCACGCTCGGTCCGCGCGGTCGGCATTTTCGGTCATTCCTTCTCACCTCCATTACGGTGCTGCGTGCTGTCTAATCAATTCACAAGGAACGATTAACGATGGGCAAGAGATGAATGTGATGATGGAAAGCGCTACGTGATGGGGAGGAAGAGATGGCAGTCGCAGACGCGTCACGAAAGACGCGATGCCGTCGGCATAGCTCCGGCAATCCTCATTGGCTGACACGCGTCGCACGCGCGATCTATCTCGTGAACAACGCGATGCCGCCTCCATCGCCATTCGATTCCGAAACCTGAACACCCATACCAGCCTTCGCGTAAAATCCTCTATTCTTTTCTCCACACAAGACACTAGCGACAACCTCGTCGCCCTCCTTCTGCGCTTCGTGTACACCCCATGTGGCTAACAGCTTTCCAACACCTTTACCTTGGTAGTCTGGGTGTACGCCACAGACGTGCAAGTCCCAGCACTCAGTGCGATGGCCAGTCCAGTACTTTTCCGAATTCGCGACTGCGGTATCGAGGAAGGATGTGCGTGCAGGATCAGCCGCTCGATTGGGGAATAGCGCTAGAGAGACAGAGTGGTAGGCCTTCAAAACTGGCGCGATGATGTTACCTGCAGAGGTAAAGTAAGCCAAATGACACGCTCATAGCTATAGGAAGCCTTGCGATGGACATACGTGGATCTGTTCGTCCCAAACCCATGCTGCCTTCTCCGCCTTTCCCTAGCCTCCTCCAATCTGCGGCACCAACGACCTTCTCATTGTCTGTCACAACCAGAAATCGATGTCTCCAGTCCCAGAATCGTTCTCGGATACCGCGCAGCAAAAACCAGTACACGTCGTCCGGATACTCCTTGCGATGCGGATGCATGATCACGCCGATGATCTCATCGTCAAAGAATGCCGCTGTCCATACTGTTGCTATCGAAGAAAGATCTGAGAATCTTGCAAGGCGAAGCTCAAAGTCGGTTGTGCTCGTCGTATTCGTCGCCATCGTAGGTTCGGGATGAAGGCGCGAACGGCTGGCTCTTTCGCAATACTCTTCAGGACATTCGGGCAATCAAAAAACCGTCAAGTATTGCGATACAGCGTTATGTTTTTTGTCTGCACATCTCCAACAAACGTGGCTGCAGATGTGCGCTCCAAGCGTACTTGACCCAATTGTGAGAGGCCCCACATTGGGGCTACACCCATGTCGCTACGCGTGCGGAGTATGCATACAACACACCCACGAAACCACTGTTACTCAGTGCAAGCCAGAACACCGATAAGAGCAACAAAGCTTTCGACTTTACTACTATCACTGTTCTCATCGTTTGTCAGTGCTCACGAGAGCTGCACCAACGGCTGAGCGACACGTGATACCGTTCGTTCATTTGGTGTGGTTCATGCGACACGCGAGACGGGCATCTGTATATATCTGTATCAGTCGCTGATGCTGACCTCGACTCTCAACACCCTTTCAACTCATAGCTAACATGGATCAGATGGTACCCTGGCCAATCACGCCGGCCGATAGTCAAACTCGCATCATGTATCAGCCACGTCTTCTGCGACTTCATGACGAGAACTACTCACCGGTAACTCCACTGCGGAGTGAGCTGCCGTTCCCCAATGAGCTTATTGATGTCATACTAGATTACGTGGTTTGCAATAACAACGAGAGTTCCCACGATGTCATCAGCTTCCTCTTGACCTCCAAGGCCTGCAACAAACCGGGGTTCCAGAAACATCTCTATCGCACTGTTTGCTTTGCGCCGAATCCAAATAGCCTCGCCGTACTCAAAGGCATCGCTGATGATCCGGCTCGAGCGAAGCTCGTAAAGGCCGTGGTGTACAAAGACGCGGCGCCCAGACGACTGGAAGTTACAGAATTCGAGAGGGCAGGCCTAAGCTATCGTGACCGCGAGTTCCACCGCCCTTGTCAATACGACCGGATGACAGATCCCTGTCTTTGGTCTACATGGTTAGAAGATAACAGCCTAGGTTGGATGGACAAGTTCATCAACTTGGAAACAGTTTGCTATCGTCCAACCCGCAGCATGCTTCCAGTTTCCGTGGATAGAGCGTGCCCGAAGCATACACCACTCATGGAGACTAGCAGCTTGCGTCTCATGGAACAAGTCTCCTATCAAAAGCTTTGCAAAATTGATAACGGCAACATTGTTCTCCCTTCATTTGGTCTCGCTCAAAATTATCCGCTACGGTATACCTGCGCGAAAGCTCAAAGCAGACACTCTATGAACATCTTTTACGCGTTGCTTAGACACGTAGATCACCGCCAGGGCCAGCGACTTCGGAAAGCCTCCATCAACTTCAACACACTAGGCTTCGTCGGCTTTCCCGCCGGAAAGATTGTACTCTCTCATCTCACTACCCTGGAATACAAATTTGACAGTGGCGACAAGTCCAATGCGTATAGCAGCGACTCGTTGAAGATAAGGCTGGTCCACGACACTTTCATCATGCCCAACACCTTACGCTGTCCAAATCTACGACATCTGATCTTTTCGGGAAGATCGCTCGCAGAGAACAACGCGCTTCACTTGTCCATGCCTCAGATCGGGCTGGTTTCTGGATGGTCCCAGCTTCTTTGTCCGATCTGGACCTCCAGTCTCGACACGTTGAGTCTCGTCAATGTGAAATTGAACCGGATCGCAGTCCAGAAGTTACTTCGACTATCGGTCAGACTTCGGTTAAAGAATGTTGTCTTTCTTGAGAATTCATTGGATGTCTTTACAGAAACCTTGGAGAATCGCCTCCTGTCAATCGAAGTGGGCGGTCTTATCGTCGTTGCAAATACGATCATAGGTGGGTGTGACAAGGTCTGGGTCGTCGGTAGTGAGATGGAGGCTGCAGCGACTGTCCGAGAATATTGTCAGTACGTCCACCACTCTTCGGCTTTGGAAAACATACCCTACGTTCCGTCCAAGGATCTAAAGTGGTATATGCTGCTTAGGGGGCCTTCGCCGCTGCGACTCGACAATATGTGGACGACATCGAAGAGTCTGGCGCTGAGGAATGATTCATGGTGAGAGCCATGCAGCCGTCTATGGAAGCATGTCGGCAGTTCCACGACTCTCGACCAAGTAGTCTAGAAGGGACTCACAGAACCACATTTCTTTCATCCATCCACCCTTACAGCAAACAAATCCATTGCACATTCACTTATAAAGCGCCGGGATTATTCTCACACTTACCTCGCTCAGATTCACTACACTCAGACCCACAGCAACAGCGATGCCACCCATAATCCTACGATGCCCAGACAACAGTACCCCTACAACCAATCTATCAACCCCCTCAACAATTACCCCAAACAACGATACTTCCACATCTACTTCAACCGACCCTTCAACAGCTGCTCGCGACTCCTTAGCCGCCAATCACCTACTCGCTGGCCTATTCATCAACCCCAACCCGCACGATCAGCAAAATCAGCAAGCGCGCAGTATGCCTGATCTAGAACGCGGTTTCTCCTCGCACGGAAATGGTGGACGTGGACGTCGGTATACTGGGATGTACAGGCAGGGCAAATGGGTGAACACGACCATCGCGGTACTTCTGGTTATGAGCGGTGTGTGTTTTGCGTTGTCTATACTTTATGGTACTGGTGTGTTGTGAGTGATTGGCGGGTGAGGAGATTGGAGATCGCGATATGGGGGGTTTTTGATAGGTTGGCTTTGGATGGCTTACAGTTTGAAGATGGACGTGGGATTCTGCGTTGATGCCAGTTGCAAGCAGGTTTATTTTATACCTCAATAGTGCGATTTCCACGATGGAGAGAACACGGGCGCCGAAATGGCAGGATGCAGATTAGTCAGCAGGCCAAGTGGGGTGAAAGCAACATCGCACACCCTGGCCATCCATCATCATCTTCATCACATCTTCCATCAGCAGCATCATCAACGACATGTTCCATTCAATATGTACCCATACCAGAATACCAGCCTGGCAAATACGACAGTATCCACGCATCGCATAGCAGCATCCACCCGATCCTCGTAATCTCCAACCTCGTCATCACCTCCACATCCTCACGATTTCGCACCACCTGTATCCGCCAACCCCTCACACCTTCTTGCGACCGCTTCCCTTAGGACGT